AAGAATGGCCAAAATCTGGAACACTAACAACACCAAATGCTGGCATGGATATAGAGCAGTAACTCTCATTTATTGATGATGAAAATGAAAACTGGCAGTGGCCATTTCTGAAGACAGTTTGGCAGTTTCTTATAAAACGAGACATACTTTTACTATATGATACAGCAAGCATGCCCCTTAGTATTTACCCAAAGGAGTTATGAACTTACATCCACACAAAAACCTGCACATGGCAGGTTTGTTCATAATTGCCAGTTGTTTACAGCAGCTTTGTTCATAATTGCCAAAACATGGAAGTAACCAACATGACCCCTAGTAGGTGAATGGATGAATAAACTGTGGTCCATCTGATAATGGTATTATTCATTGCTAAAAAGAAATGAGCTATGAAACCATAAAGGACATGTAGGAAACTTACATGTGTACCACGAAGTGAAAGAAGTCAACCTGAAAAGGCTAAATACTGTATGATTCCAATATGACATTTTGGAAAAGACAAAACTATGGAGGCAATAAAAAGATCAGCCATTGCAAGGGATTCAGCAGGGGAAGGTGAAGAGGAGAGAAATAGGAAAAGCGAGAGCCCAGAGAAGATTTTTAGGGCAGGAAAAAGACATTGGTCCAAACCCAAAGAAAGTACAACACCAAGAAGAGTGAATCCTCATGTGAACTAGGGACTCTGAGCGGTAACGATGAGTCCATGCAGGTTCACCCGGCCATTCCGGTGGATGATGGTGATAATGAGGGGGGGCTACCTGTGTGTGGGAGCAAAGAGGCATATGAGAAATCTGTACCTTCCTTTCAATTTTGCTTGAACCTAATACTGTTCAAATAAACAAAGTCTTATTCAGAAAGAGAAAGAAAGGAAGGCAGGAAGAAGACAAGCAATGCATCAGAAGTCAATCAGTAGACCTGAGGCTCCTCAAGGATCAATCCCAGGCTCCCTTTACTTCCGTCCCCTCGTTTCCAGCAAAATGCTAACTGCCATGAACTCCTCATTCTCATTCCCTCTACCACATACAATCCTGGGCTTGGTTAACTCTAAATTATACATTCTAAAAATTGTATTTATATTTCCACATCTTTTCCATTTGTTCTAATTATGATAATTTTGAGCAACTAATATTGATAATATTAATAGATAATGTCAACTGAAAATTAGTCCACATTGCTAAAGGGCTTAATTACTAAATTTGTGCTATAAAATGTCTGCTGGAAAATTTGCTTGAGAGACTGATTCTTCAGGGGCTAACTCCTTAGAGGTTAAACTTGTGAATTAATACCCTCTTATGAAACACTTTTTTTGAGCCAAGCTGGGGCTTGGAAAATGAAGAGGTGAAAATTCTCTTGCCACCTCTTCCAGACTCTTTGTGAAGCTCTAGGTGGTATCAAAAGAGACATCTTGCACAAACAAGCCTCACCGCCGAGAGTGAGGGCAGACAGAAACCCAATAGAGACAGTTCAGCAGCCCTGGATTAAAGACCAAATACTTAAGAGGCAGAGCATTCGATCATGTCAGGGATGGGTCCATAGCAGACAGATGCCAAAGCAAGAAAAACAATTCAGCAAGATATACTCAGACTGAAAGTCTTCCCAGGATAGATATGCCCAAAATTCAATTCTGTTTTAAATGAGTTAAGGTAATGTTATAACAAGAGCACACTATTACTACGCATGTGAGCTTCTAACAAACAGAGGCAAAAGCAGTGCTATCTAATAGAACTTTGTCTAATGATGGGTATGCCCTATATCTGCACTGTCCAATACAGTAGTCACTAACAGCGTGTGGCTACGGAGCACTCAAGATGTGGCTAATACAAATGAGGAACTGAATTTTATTTCATTTTAATTAATTTAAATAAAAATAGCCACACATGGCTAGTGGCTACCATATTGGACAGTGCAAGAAAAGGTTTAGGCCATGGTTTGGGAAAATGATTCAAGAGGTTATCAAAGGAAATCTTACATATATTCTGGTCATGTGAAAAAATACTATCTCAGTGCCTCCCTGCCACAAACACACAGGCGAAATGTGTAAGAAACCACTAGATACAGCAGTGCTTCTCAAATTCCAGCATCCATCAGATCACCTGGGTGTCTTGTTACAACACAGATTATGCAGCCCACTTCCAGAAATCTGATTCAGTATGTCTGTACATTTCTAATATGTACAAATGACTCTGATGCTGCTGGTTCAGCACTAGAATAAAATCTGCAACATTCAAAACCAGCCCACTCCTACCAAAGTGGAGCTTCTTTTACTTACCACCTTTCTTCTACACCAAGGTGCCACTTTCTTCAAGGTACATAGAATCATTCTCAAACATTCTTACAAGTTTTGCTTAACATCTAGGACTATAAATATATGACAGAATGCAAATAATTAAGGAAAACTACCTATGATGAATTCCCCACATATTAGACCCCAGGTAGAGAGTACTTGTAAAATTTGTGAGTTATCAAGGGATAACTCAAACCTGTCAGGACAGTTTATATCTGATCTCTGCACTGGCCCTGTTTTACAGTTGAACTTGGGCTTTCTATTAAAATAATGTAGATTACGTCAGGTCCAGGTCAGTTTTGGCCTCTTTAACCATTCCAACACATGGTACTATCAGAGTATCTAAAGAATACCTGTCATATTAAAACATCTTATTTATCACTCAGCAGGCATATATTGAAGACAATCCCTTTCCATATTCCCAAAGAAGAGAAAAAATAGAAATGAAAGGTTCTAGAATAAAAATATACTTCTCCAAATAATCTCTGGTCTCTATTGTATCATCTGTAAAAAACTGATCTGGACCAGCAGTCATTCTGGAGGATTTTTTTTTTCTTTCAGGGATTACTTCTTTATGTCCTTTGGCCTGATTTCACATGAATCACTTTAAGAGACCTCCCTTAATCACCCAAATGCAAGTCTTTTTACTGCTCTTATGAACAGCCTTCTGTCTGCCTCATCCACTCTCCCCTTCCTTGACTTTGCAAAGCAAAGCCTTCATCCAGAGTATACTGTCACAATGAACCAGAACATGATGCCTTTGAATGAACTCAGAATCCAGTACCATCCATTACTTCCCGTATCCCTAACATCCAGGCTCCCACTGTTTCTCAGTTACTACCAACACAAAGAGTAAGAGTAACCCTGGAAATCTGGAAGGACACGTACCATTTCACACAATTTTTAGAGCCCCCAAGTAGTCACACAATATTGTACATGATTCCCTTCGGTTATTAATGTGTGCCTTCTTTACAGGTAAGGAAACTGAAGCAAAATGAAGTTAAATGATTAAAATTCAGTAGCAGAGAAACTCACAGCAAGATTAAAACATTGTATTTCTTCGACAGAAATTCTTACCAGGAACAATTTTTCTTCCCAGAAGTCATTTGGCAATGTCCGGAGACATCTTTGATTCTCACAACTGTAGGGGAAGCTACTAGAATTTGTGGGCAGAGGCCAAGAACAATGCTGAGCATCCTGTAATGTACAGGACAGTCCACACAAGAATATCCTGGCTCAAAAGACCAAGAGCGCAAAGTTAAGAAGTCTTGGTCTGCTGGCTTCTCTAGTGTTACTTTTTCAGTTCCTAATCAATAACTAAAGAATGGTTTGCCCCACAATTTAATTCTTGTACTACAGTCTTTACACAAAGAAATATGCCAGTCAAGTGCTGTTTATGGCATGCTATACTTTTTAGTTACTTATAAAATAGAGGATATACAGGTTCTACTGAGGAAAGTTAGCAAAGCCCAGCTCCCTTCTTTGAATGAGAAAACCCAGCAAAGACCAGCGTTTTTCCTTAGCAATCTCCAGGCCCTGAGCAATGGTCTATATCGGGCTGCTCACCTATTGCTGACGTGCTTTGCAGCTGCCCTTTCCCCGCTTTTATTATCTCCAAGTACTCCACAGCAATGATGGTGTGCATCTATTAGGATCTTCAAAGATCTGCATTGCCTAATTGCCTATTTTGTTCAGTAAACTGCACTCATTCCTGAGCCACGTGAGGCACCTAAGGCTATCAGCCTTTCTGGGTGCCCTCTAACAGCACCTGGGTACTGGGGAACTATCTACTAAGGGTATAGTGGTATCGAACCATGTTGCTTAAAATAACCCTCCATTTACCAGCTGAGTATTTTTTTAAACACCCCCCCCCGTCACTCTTTCCTAACCATCCTTAGCTCTGCTTTGATGTATATTAATCATAACTTTCTCTTCAAAGACTCTGGTTTTAATTTAGGCTCTAGACGTTGGAATGCTCAGAAAGGATAGCTGTGCTTTCCACCCCTCCTTCCTGCACCTCCACCTGAACTCCGAGTAGGCCACACCGAACAATGACTTCCTCCTTTAAGTCTGAAAAACCTTCAGCACAAACGAAAACTCAAAGCCAGCTTCAGCTGTGATGCTCCCAGTGCCTACACGCATTGCACTAGGGGCTGAAGACAGATGAGGAGTAAGTGGGCATGTGACTTTCAGTGATGCTGTATAAAATAACATGAAACAGGCAGACCATGGGCTTTGCTCCTGCCATTATCCACCCAGCTGGGAATTTTCAACTTTGAGAAGTTATTTCTTTCACGAAAAAAAAAGTGATTAGTGAAGGAAAAGTTAAGCAGAGTGATCAAATAAAGAAGGAAAATGGTGGGGGAGGGAAACGAGCCAGCAGAGCTAATATGATACGGCTACATGAAAATGAGAATCAGCCCCAGTGATCCTCACAGCCTTCTCAGGAAGCCTTAACAACCCTTCCTATATAAATCACATCCTATATAAACTCTTAAACAATTCCTGTGTGGAGATACTTCCATGCACAGATCCCATCCCATCACCTTGATCATGGTTTTCTCTCTGTAACTGGATTTGCATGGTAGCTATGACTTGAGTTAATCCAGGTTTAGGGAGAACAATTCTCATTGCACTGACCCCAAAAGACTGATGAAACATAAGCCTCTGGGACTTGGCAAAGCCAGAAAAACGGCAGCAGAGAATGCCTTTGCCTTACCCTGGAGTAGAGGGTGTAGAAGCCTTCAAACCCACTCACATCCTCACGACCCATCGGCTCTGCTGATTTTCATCGCTCACTCACTTGCATGTTGGACCCACCACCAATCGATCACCAACTGCCAAAGACATGAACGAATGTATTAGGCCAACGGAGCCACAACTTCAAGTCCCAAGCCACTGCTCCAGTGACTAAGTTAGAGTATACTAAGTGCTTAACACATAGATCCAAACAAGTATAACAGCTCAAGCTCAATACAAGTTCACTTCTGGTTTCTGTCTCCACACTGGACAGGCAGACATGTCAGCCAGTGGGCCCTGAGGCAGTGATCACGACACCCAGACTGCCATCTTTCAAATATAATTTCCAAGGTTTCCCTAAGGGTCCTAGCCATTCCAGCCAGCTGGGAATGGAAAACAGCACAGAGAAGCTTGCATGGGCAAGTTATTTTTATGGATTTTTTTTTTTCCCCCAAAAGTGAACCACAGTGATGTTCTACTTCTACTCACATTCTGTTGGTTGGTTAAAACTCAATCACATGGCCCTTGTTAATCCCTCAGACTACAAGGCAGCAAATAGTCTCTATTGTACAAAGCCAACTCCAGCCCAATGAAGAAGACAGAATTAGGTTTAGAGTACAGGCTCTGGGTAAGACACTAGCACAACAACCTGACCTTACTGCACTACTCTGAATCTCAGTTTCATCATCTGTAAAATACCCTGCCCCTCTTACAGGGTTAATGTGAGACTCAAAATGAAACAAGGCAGTACTCCTCGAACTTTAACATTCATTCACATCCTCTACGCATCTTGGAAAAAAATGCAGATTCTGATTTGGCAGGTCCCAGGTGAAGCCTGAGATTCTGCATTTCTAACATGCTCCCGGGTGATACTGATGCAGCTGCCTGTGGGTCATGCTTTGAGTAGAAAAGAGATATTTTGTAAACCATAAAGTGACTTGCAGAAATAAAGAATTATTAACGTGGTACCATTTATAATCAATTCATTGATTATAAATGAATTCCCAAATAGGTTGCATTTTAAGGATATATTTAGTCTGAGCATCAGACAGAATTTCATAGTCACAGGATTTCAGAAGAGAAAAAAAATTAAAGTGGTCACTACTCTTTTCCCTTATTTTCCAGACAAGGAAGCAAACTCAGAAATCAATATGCCTCCAAAATCTTACAATTCAGAAGTATGCCAGGATTAGAATGCATACATTTAACTTTTTGTTACCTAACATAATAAATTATGTTATTACATAAATCCAATTATAATCATATTGCTAACCAACAACAAATATTACTCTAACACACCCGAAAATGTACCAGAAGGTAGTGTTAACCAGCCTGGGTCCCAGGGTACCAAATGTAGGCAAGGTGTCACAGGACACAAAGCAAGAGATTTTCAAGTAAACTGATCTTCCAAATTCAGTGATCCCCACCCAAGTTATGTTTCACATGTCCATAGTGTGACTTGAACACAAAGTAACCTCTGTATAACTTCTGCCAAAAACAAGAATTCTAAAAAACCCAACAAGAATTTTTATTTTAACCATATGCAAGCTCTAAGTCACTTCTATTTGGAGACGATTAGAAAGAGAACTTGGGGTTGCAAACAGAAAAGGGAAATAAAATAATTAGCTGAGGAGAAGCATTGATTTACAGGGTTAAACCCTGGGTACAAATAAAGGAATATAAAGAGATTTTAATCCCTGGCATGTAAATTATTTTGCACATCTGAGAAGATCACGGTAGAACCTAGGCCCTTACAGCCGAACACCAGACGTAGTACCTCAGAAATGAAAAAAAGAAGTCATAAAGAAAGAAAGGCAATAAATATCTGGAAATCAAATCACACTGGGGAAAAGGGAGCCCCTTGGGATGCACATCATCACCAATGAAACAGTGGGAATTTAAAAGTGTTTTGCTAAAATTAGGAATACTTATTGAACAAGCAATGATACATGGAAATCAATTCTTGCATATCTATTATTCATTTAAGATGGCTAAAATGCTATTATTATCATCTTCATTTAGTGAGAAATTTTTTAAAAGGTAGAAATGTTCCTTAGAACCACCACAGGTTGACTTCTATACGCCCAGCCCTCTTCCACCATAATGTTTTTAGCTCCTCAGTCAAGAACTCCCTCATCCTGGCAATTTTCCAAAGCCAACTAGTATTCTTATCCTATTTTTGCACCATAGTCCCCTTTGGTAGTCTGATGAAGCCTAAGGACTCTCTCCCCAGTATAATATGTGTAAGATAAAATACATAAGATTACAAAGGAAATGAATTCTATGTAAACACTCTTCTCTCCACAAAGATCTTAAGGAGTCCATGAACCGAAATTAAGAACATCTGATTGGGGGGTGACTCTTCTAGGATGATGAATGTTTTTTCTTACAGGAAACAGTATGTGCAGAAAAGTTTAGCAAATTCTAAGATGCAGAGTAAAGAATACTTCTCAGAGTCAGTTAGTGAAGAAAAAAATGATCTGTAAAGAGAAGCCTGACCTTGAATTTCTGCCAAAACTCAAAGCGACTCGTGTGTGGCATTATAATCCTACTACATTAAGGAATTACTCAGAAAATTTTCTTGGTCCTAGCCCCGTCCACAGAGCACATTCTGTGGCATGATGGCAGGTGAAAGTAGGCAGCACTGGCAAAGGGGAGACCGGATGGAGTCCTCTAGCTCTGTTAGGTTGGTCTAGTCACTCAGTTCTAAGTTCAAATTCCCTGTCTATAAATTCAGAAGGGTAAATCAAACCATTAAGGGTTTTTTTTTTCCTATTCTGAACTCTCAGGATTCTAAGATAAATACATGATCATGTTTCTCTGGGAAGAAACATTAGCAAGACTTCTTTTTGCCCTAGGCTCACCGTGTGAAAATTACCTGCTAAGTGAGAATTTTTTTGAGACTTCAGAAATAACTTATGAGAATCACCTGATCATAGAACTTCAGGTTTGGAAGAGATTTTTAAGGAACACCTATAATACTATGTTACCAATCCCAGTGAACAGGGGAGAAAAATAAAGTTAAGAAAGGTGAAGAGATTTATTATTTGTGGTCAGAAAATGAGGCAACATTAGTGGACTGTTGTGACTACTGCTATCTAGCACCAGCACATTTAGCATTGGTAGTAAAAACCAGAAATAAACCCAGGAAGAGGATGGGAACTACACAAACAAGCAGGTAACTGGAGTAATGGCCCCCAGGGTCAAAGCTGAGGCCTCATTATGCTCTCTAACCTCCCCATCACTGGCAAAGCACCCACTTTTGTCAAATTTCATGTCCACAAAATTCATCTCAAAAAAGAGTCAACAACAGTCAAAGGATAGTTATTTCAAAAAGAAGGGAATGGATGAATGAATCCTGGCTAATAAGGTCAATAAAATCAAACGTCAAGTTTGGGGCTATTAATACAATCTGGAAAGGTCAACATCAGCTAAGAAAATATAAAAACATTTGTTAGGAATGTTCAAGTTTTGGAAGAAACTAATTCAGAGTAACTTTGATCCATCATCTGTGGCCAGCCTTAACATAGAGTTGATGATTTTGTTAGCATTATTTTTACTAATACTCTGACTGCTGTCTCAGTGAATGTTAATTACTGGCTACTGCTCCGATTTTAGTCAGATGTACATTTCCATAGCCCCATCCTCGTGTGTAGACAGGCTTCACATACAAAGAATTAGAAACAATGAAGTTGGTGGAAATGATTTCAATATCATGTTTAATTAACCAAACGTGCATGCCAAGAGCTCTTAAAGCTGCATACTATGATGCTTAATTATCAGTTTATTCTCTCCCTTCTCCCCTCAGAAGCACACATGAGTGCAAAGTTATCAAAGGCATTCCTCAGACCTCACAACACACATTATCCCTACCTTATATAAACAGTTATGGCCTTCAGAACTATTCTGAGACTCTCTTTGACCGGGAGCAGACACAGCATTTCAAAATCTTCTAGACCAGAGGCTACCCTCTGATGGTTCGCCAGCTCCAGCTTGCGTCTCCTACAGGGATTCTCAGAGACAGCAGCGCCATCTACTGGTAGGGAGGGTACAACTTATTTTCTGGAAGTCTGTGGGTGGCATGAGCCAAGGACCAGAAAGAATGGCAGTCTAGATTTGGGTTTTTGTAATCCTTTCTTTTCCAGAGGACATTACAAGCACACCTGATGCTTAACAACCTGAGACATGCAACCTCCACAGGAGGCTGCATCATGTGGATAGCAGGTCCTCTGGAAGCCACATAAAGACCAGGCAGGCTACCAATACTGAGGTAGCTCTGCCTGGAATTGCCTCCTCGAGGCTCCAAAGGCTAGCAGCAAAGACCCACTAGATTAGACATTTCCTGGCACTCCTCTTTCCCCATGGCTTCCCCATCAGATGATCTCACCCAGTGCCCCCCACCTGTGGCACTGTTATCCAGTTCTACCTCACAGCGTGCATCCTCTGGAAGGAGCTCAGACCCCTGTCAATGTGAAGGCTCTTACGTTTACACAATGTGACACAGATCCTCCTCAAAGGACACTGCTGCTTAGACATGCAGGGCAGACTCTAATCTCTGTCATTCACTCTCCATCCTCCCCACCGCTGACTCAGGGGACAGAAACGACAGAAAGGAAATGATTTCTTCGTTGTTGCTTTGAGAGCACCACCAGTGGGCTTTTATTGAATCAGAGAATAAAACCTTGTCCTATAGGTCACTGAGGTATGTTACTTCCCTCAAGATGAGCTAAGCCTGCCAATCTTCCTCGTGACCCTTGCATAACCTAATCAGCTTTTCTCAACCTTTTCAAAACCCCTGCCTCCCTTCCACAGACTAAATATAAACACCGCACGCCCTCTGTGTAGTTTATATAACAAAAATGACAGTTTTCTTAAAAGTGTATACCTTTTTAAACTATGCCACCTACCTCACCCTCAGAATTTTCTTCACCCCTCCACTCAATCCCAGCTTAAAAAAAAAAAAATCACTGAACAAGTGTTGCATTATTCTTATGAATTTGCTTTATGTTCCCATCTACCAGATGACAACTGATATTTCAGTTTACTAAGGTCATCTGTATATTCCCAGTCAGCTTTGCAGCAACTTCTGTTCTTTTACTTTTACTCATCTTTAAAAAACATCAAAAAGTTGACTTAGTACAGTTGGTAAATCTGAATTTGATCCCCCTAACAAATTTAAGTATTTTTTCTTCAAAAAAAAACCTTTCCTAGTGAATTGATTTCAGGCATGGGGTGTGTTTTATATGCTTGAAATCATATGGTTTCCTAAAGAAACATAACCGCATGGGGAAGGTGAAATAAAAGGGCTTTTAAGTGGTATCAGAATGTTTTGGAGAAGTCAGGTAGACAGATCCTTTGTCCATTTCATATCAGAATAAGTTCTGACGAATTACACTAGAACTCCAGAGCCAGCAAAGTCTTCATAATGACAACTGAAATCATTTCTTACTGATACTACAGGTACAGCCAACAAATTAACAAGTTAGTTCATCAGTGGAAACCTGAAGGGACGTTTTATGTTTCACTATAAAATGTACAACATGCCCTTGCTTCTGCACATCTGAGGAAATGGAGGAGACGCAGGGAATATCTTGCACAGTTTTACTTGCTCTTCAGGCCCTGGACACACCCTCCCCTTTTAAAAGTATGGTATAAAAGCGACATCACTCCCCCTCCACCTCACATACACCTCTTCTGGCAGCCAAAGGGTCTTCAAACACACACTTTTCAAAGAAATAAGGAGGTCTGAACAGGTTTAATTGAGATCCAGCTTTCCCTTGCCCTACAGCCCATTAACAGGCTGGAAATAATCACCTGCTTGGGTGGCCCCTTTCAAACCTCAGTTTACAGAAATTACCACCCTCTCCCACCAGAAATCTTATCTTCTTGGAGAAGAATCTGTGATGGTCTGGTCTGCAGTTCACTGCAGGCATTTCCCTCCTCACCATTTACCAGTCATCAGTTACACAGGAATTCCTTTTTGTAGCCTCTCATTTAGACTGCTCCACCAATGTGCCCAAGTGCTGTTTTAAAAATTATTTAAGTCTCTTGACGAATCTCTGAATTCCTCTGGCAGGTTCAAAGCATTCAACTGCGGTGAAACTCTGGGGCGAGAGCTGGCGTGCAGGTCCGGGGGGCAGAGAAGCCGCCTCCGGGCAGCACCGGGACTTAGTCCACTGGTGATGCCGCCCGCCCGGCCCGCACCGAGCCAGAAGGGCTCTTCGCACAGCTAGCTGCGCTAGGAATTCGGCTTCGCTCGCAGCCGCCGGATTAGTTCGTCTCACCATCTCGGCCAAAGTGACAGTACGTTTTTTTTCCCCCTTCATTCTCCCATGTGACAAGTCCCATTGCATTAAAGCCACCTCCACCTCGGCCCAAGCCCAGGTCCAGCGCCCGTGACACCCCCACCACCCGCACCCTTTACCTGGGGAGGGAGCTGATGCCAGCAGCCCTCCGGGAGGGAAACAAAGGCGGAGGCAAGGCTGCCAGGTGGGTAACTCCCCTCAGGCAGACCCGGAGCCGCAGTAGAAAGGATGGGGAGATGCATTACAGGGTAGAAGAAGGGAAACTGAGGCAGCGAGGGGGATGGCTGAGCCGGGACTGCATCTCTCCCTGAAGCGAGGCTCCCCAGGCAGGCAGACTCCAGACCTTCCCCTGCCCCTCCTAGCTGCTTCGCTCAAGCCGCTTGCCCGGACCGGGCCAGGAGGGACAGCAAGAGTCGCCCCGCGGCGCCGCTTACCTCGGGAGAAGCGCTCCGGCTCCCTCCGACGGCTACGGAGAAAGCCCCACCGCTCGCGCACGCGCTCTCGCGCCTTCGCCCCTCCGGCCCCCACGCGCGCCCCTCCGACCCAGCTCTGGCCCGCCCCCTCCCTGTCCGTCAGCGTCCACGAGAGCCAATCCGATCGCACGGAAGGCCCAGCTCTAATCACGTGGCCTGACCAGCCAATCATGAAATTGCCCTCGGCAGCGCCCGCTCCGATGTCCCTGGGGGTTTGGTTGCTACCAAGCTGAGCGGGTGCGTGGTGGGCACAAAGGGTTGAGCTCTGTTTTCTGGTGACTGAGTAGCACTCAATTTCTCAATTACCAGATCAATTGATTTATCAAATTCTAATAGAAATAGAAATCACCTAGGTATCTTGTTAAACTATGGATTCTGGTACAGAAAGTCCGGGGTAGGTATCTGAAATTCTACATTTCTGTTATAGCAAGCTCCCAGGTGGTAATGACGATACTTCTAGTCTGAAGACCGCGCTTGGAGTAGCACCTGTCAGGTTCCATGTTATTTGGAAGTTTCACGACCTTTTTTGCGCTTCCTCTGATGATGGAAATCATTATAGTGACTAACTATGGGATGTTCTGGTGATTCTTGTAGTTTGGGGACCAGCTGAAGGAAGGTGTTAGTTTAATTCCCACATTTCTCATCCTTAGACTACGGAGCAGCAACCTATGCCAACCTGGTGAATGGAGTGTAGAAACCAGAAGTGGAGATGGAACCCTTATCAAAGAGAAAACCACTGGGTCTGCATTCATCCTAAAGTATTGGGCACATGTGATTGTGCTGGACTTGGCCAGAGTGGTGACATAAGTATTCCCTACCTTATACAGTCTGTGATATCACTACACGGGCAAGCTCAAAAAGAAGCATATGGAAAAAAATATACAAGGAACTAATGGTCACAGCACCCTGGACAATTCAGGTGTAAGCCAAAGAGACTATGTAATAATCTGCCTTGGGGATCTTGAAAATTGTCCTAAGATTCTTGTCAGTAATTACATAGTCAAGAAGTTAGGAAGCCCAGTGCCTCTCCCATCTCTCAAACTTGACCTAAAACCTCAGTGTTTTCAGACTGGCCAGCTAGAACGTTTGTTGTTCAGCATAGTCAAACTCTTATTTCCCAATAGTGTAGCAAGGTGGTTCAAAGAGTCTTAAGTGCTAAATTCTCCAAAACTCTCTTCCTCCATTTGTTCTGATCAAGTGATACAAGTGCTGGGTCAAGCAGTTACCTCTCACTATTCATCAAGGTGGTCAAATTGTCACTTACAGAAAGTCAGGTCTCTCTGGCTTCTCAGCCCCAGAAGTGAAGCCCACGTGTTTATCACATTGCCCCTATCAGAGATGGCATTTCACAAAACTCAGAGTTCTGTGGAACATATTAAATCTATCACAACAACAGTTCAGGCTATGGTAGGAGTAAAGAAACATTTTCGCAAGAAAAACCGGTATGAAAACATCAAAGTAAGTTTCCTTTGCTAACATGAAACCAGTGGTTCTCAAGCTTAGCTGTATGGTAAATATTTAAAGAAATAGATTATGGGGCCCTGCGCCTGGACATCTGCTTGGAATGAGGAATGGAGTCTGGACAGATAATAGATTTAAATAGTTCCACCAGTAATTTGATATCCAGCCATGCTTGAGAATACCTATATAAGCTGCTAGATCAATGGACTCATCCTTTAACAAGGAAAACTTAGCTCTGCATCACAAATCACTAATGACATAAAAACTCAGTAAGCAGAGGGAAGTTTCCACATAATTTTTGAGAATCGATTTTTAAAAGCCCCCAAATAATTCATGGGTAATAAATACTTCAAAGACTATTCAGTGGAACAAATGGAAAAGCTAGGTCCACAACTAGGTTTAATTCCAGTTGACTTAATATTTCATAAAGAACCCACTGTCTTTTGTTAACCATGCCAAACTGCTCAGCTCTCTCGTGACAGCTTCACTTGTTTTGTCCCCTTCTTAACAAGAACAAATTTCCAGTTGAGCATTATGAGGAGTTATTCTCTAAGCCTTTTCCCAACATGTGGAACAAAATCACCTGAGGTACTTGTCAAAATGCTGATTCCCAGGGCCCAATGCAGAACCCTCTCTTATGCCACAGTTCTGAAGCTAGGACTGGTTAAATTTAAGTCCAAGTTATACCTTCTGATACAGGACACCTATGTACAAGCAAACCCTCAAGTAAAATAGCTATGCTATTAGTATAGCTTTCTATGCTAGCGAAATAAAAAGAGTTGAATCTATTTTAAAGGACTACAGAAAATTCTCAATTCTCTTTACTGGTGTTTTTACCAAATTCTGTTATTTTGTAAAGCAAAGTGATGTATGCTTGGATCCTGGAAAAACAATTGTTTCACAAAGTTTTCCTATGAAGTAATATTTGCTACAATGGGATATGGCCTACTTGATTTTAACCTAAATTAGTAAGATCCCCTTAGAACAGCGGTTCTCAACGTGTGGGTCGCGACCCCTTTGTAACAATGAAAATACATCCTGCATATCAGATATTTACATTATGATTCCTAACAGTAGCAAAATTACAGTTATGAAGTAGCAACGAAAATAATTTTATGGTTGGGGGTCACCACCACACGAGGAACTGTATTAAAGGGTCGTGGCTTTAGGAGGCATTCGGAAGGTTGAGAACCACTGCCTTAGAACATTACACCAGCAGGCGTCTTGCTCAAAAGTGACTTGACTTGTGATTCTAGAAATATGGAAGCCCAATGTGTGAGCCTGAAAACTAGCTTTCCTCCTTCCCTGACACTTTTAAAATATATTTCACAGCATGTCAAATGGGGGAGAAATTTTTCTCACCTTGTAAACTTGTAGCTTTAGCTATCGGGTAAAGTAAGGACAGTTTTTACTGATACTTAACTAGTACAAATAATGCAAATTTTTCCACTAGAGAAAAGAATTTATTTTTCTCTTTATGGGTGTCATCATTACAGAGAGAAGCAACAGGAAGGAAAGAGATTCTTGAGAAAAGATCATCCGGGCTGTCATTCATTTTTTGGTTTTCAGTTTACTTGCATCATGTACATAACCTGGCTATCTTGTCTCAGGAAATGGGTATATTAGTATCGGATGTGAATGAGCTCAAGGAAGGTTTCCTACTCCCCACTCCAGAAATGACTCAGTGAGAGATTTAGGTATGTTTGGAAAGAAAGAGATAAGATAAAAGCCACCCACCAATCTGCCGAGTCCCAGAAATCCCCCCATTGCTCTGTTATAATCAGGACCCCCATAGACTGCTTTATAATTGGTAATTAACTTTTTATTTCTCTAATAATAAATAGCTTCTCTAAACCTAATTGATTTCATTTGTGAGGTCTCATAGATTACCCAAGATTCTAGTCTCCATCTGTCATATTAAGTCCAGCCAGCAAAACATTTGATATCTCTGTATCTGTGTTTTAATAACTGATAACTTTTCCCATTCAGTGTGTCTATGTACAGATTTAACCTAACACAAAAAAGCATTTTGTACAAATGTTGGTTTTCCTTATGTTCTCTTATATTTTTTATGAAATACATGTATTACAGATTTTAAATGTGTATACATAGATAATATATGCCCCTCTATACTCCTTCAACTTAATAAAGATATAATATACTATAAATACAGCCTAAGCCCCCATGTACCCCCTCAACAAGCTTATTTTTTAGATGGAAATTTCACACTTATGAAGGTTAGCCACAAAGGAGAAAGAATGGTTTACAGGAGGAAATACCATGTTACATGCATGTAATAGACAACACAAGTATAAATGGGCAAAATTCTTGTTGACTAAAATGTTTGTTCTTGTCAAAATTCTTGTTGACATTCTAAACTGATATAGAAAAATGTAAGAGCTAGAAATCCTCTGTGGCCCAACACCTATATTTTACAATTACAAATTTGGACATAGAAAGCAAGTGACCCTTAGAAAACAACACATATTTTGGAGCAGAGAAGAGGTGAGGAATTTGGTTACCAACACAGTAGTTGAGCCCTACCTCTTTTCCCATTTTAAGAGAATCTATCACCATTCAAAAGAAAAAGTTTTCTGTTACAACAGAGGCACATAACATTATAAGAAAGCATATAAGAGGAATACCAATTCCAACTGATGAAATAAGGGAAGGCTTTCTCCAAGAAGTGATGCCTGAGCTGAATTCCAAAGAACTTGTAAGAGTTAACCAGCTGTTATGGACTATTCATGTCCGTTCCATAATTATATGTTGGCCATCCCCCAGGTATGATGGTATGAGGAGGTAGGGCTTTTGGAAGGTAATTAGGATTAGATGAGGTCATAAGGATAGACCCTTCATGACTGGACTTATTAAAGTCTTTGTTAGTGTCCTTATTAAAGTTACCAGAGACTTGCTTCTGCTCTCTGCCATGTAAGGATACAATAAGAAGTCAGCAGAGTACAACCCAGAAGAGAGCCCTCACAAGAACCTGATCATGCTAGCACCTTGATCTCTAGCCTCCAGACTTACGAGAAAAAAAATTCTGTTGTTTATAAACTGTCCAGTCTGTGGTATTTGGTTATAGCAGTGCAAATGGACATAGACACCAGAAAGTTCACAGGAAGGGTGTTCCAGGCTCAGGAAACAGCCCATAGGAAAGCATAGAGCACAGAACGTAGGGAAGAGAAAATAGTTTAATTTGACCGAGTGTGAGAGGGGAAAGGAGGAAAATGATGATTGAAAGATGGGGGAAAGACTAGAAATGAAGGACAGAAAATACATGATATGCCATTTCTCCCTCCTCTTGTGCATATGGGAGACGATCAATCATGGTACTCAACTCCATTATAGAGATTATTAGTAGAATCTAGGATTATGTGGTCTGGGTTAAAATCCCAGCTCTTCTACTTGCTAACTATGTAAGCCAGACAATTTAGTCCTTGGAAAGTATTAGGTAAATGATTTCCCCAGTTTTTCATCTTTAAAATGGAAACAAGGGCAATACAAGTATAGTAATTCCTACTTATTCTCAAG